TCATAATTACAAAAAAATGAACAAAATGAAAAATTATGATTGGTTGAATGCGGTTTGCACGGTTTGTACAAATTGAGTGGTTTGCATTTGATCGCTCCCCTATATATATATATATATATATATATACACACTATATTATAAAGCATTTGATAAAAACTCTTAAAACCCACTTTTTATACGTAAAGTACTGTTTATTAATACAAATTATTTAAAACTCAAGATTACAAGTAGATTGTGCGTAAGTACAACTTATTAAAGCTCCATATCTGAATTCGTGTAACTAACTGCAAATAAACATAATCAAATACAGGATAAACATATCATTTTAAATTAAAAAATCTAAAATATAATTATGATAATCATAACAGAATACTTAATTATTATCTTTATAAAATGTTATATATTAAACCAAAAATAAATTATTTTATTATTAAACTTAAATTAAATTATAATAAAAAAAATTAAAGAAATTACATAACAAATGAAAACTTTTAAATAGTTGATTTGATTAGGGCTGTAAACGAACCGAACGTTCAGCGAACCGTTCGGCGGGAAGTTCGTTTATGTTCGTTTATTTAATAAATGAATGAACATGAACAATTTTTTTTGTTTGTTTAGTTAAACGAACGAACATGAACAAGAGTCTTGTTCGTTCATTTATGTTCGTGAACATTCGTTCATTTACCGTTCGTTTATATTCGTTTATATATTAAAATTTAATATATAATCTTTTATTTATTTACTTTGAATTCAAGTAATATTTATTTATGTTCGTTTATGTTCGTTTAGCCCGTTCGTTTATGTTCGTTCGTTTGGCATGTTAACGAATGAACATAAACGAACACGAACACACCTTATTTCTAAACGAACGAACACGAACACAAAGATTTTCGTTCGTTTACCGTTCGTGTTCATTCGTTTGTTCGGTTAAGTTAAACGAACGAACATGAACAAGCCTCCGTTTGTGTTCGTTCGGTTCGTTTACAGCCCTAGATTTGATATTAAAATTGATATATATTTTTAAAATTTTTATAATATCTTTAAATTTAATTTTATTCAAAATTAAAACAATTATTGTTTTCTTAAAAAGACATGATCTATCTATACTATTTATAAAACATTTGACAAAAATTCTTAAAAATCATTCTTTATACATGAAGTACTGTGTATTAATGCATATTACTTAAAATTTAAGATTACAAGTAAATTGTGCTTAAATACAATTTATTAAAGTTCCATTTTTTAATTCGTATAACTAACTGTAGACAAACATAATCAAATATAAAATAGACATCTCATTTTAAATATAAAAAAATCTTAAATATAATTAAAATAATCATTGAGTTATAACAGAATCATTGTCTTTATAAAATTTTATTGTTAAGCCAAAAATAAATTACTTCACTAAATCATAAAAAACATTATATTTCTCAAAACCACATAAATCGTATTATATCAACATAGACAAAACAAAAACAAAAACAAAACATTAAAATAAAGATATATCTCGTTGCATTGTACGAGTACTTATATATATATATATACACACACACAACTGGCAAAGTCATTTCTTATACTATGAAACTAGGATTTAGAATTTAAGAATAAAGACAGTTACAAAGACTCTGCATTCTATCTATATTATTATTATTATTATTATTCATCTTTCTTCTTATACATTCTTCAACTATAACAACTTGAATTCATTCATGTAGCAAGACTATCATCACTGCTGATTCCTGTTAGGAGTTGGGGCTTCCTCAACCAATACTGCCTAAACCTCTGCCTTGCATACTCTATGTAATCAAAATCAATATGATTCACATAACCCTGCATACATATTGAATATATGTAACAACTTCAATTAATCACAACCATAAACATATTGAATATATGGAAAAGAGCTTAATGTATTAAGTACCGAGATTATTCCCCATAATCCCCAAAAAAGATGATTTGCAAGACTGTATTTTTCAACATCATCAATAAGCTCATCTACTTCACCATCCTGCACTTCATTTCCTACAAACATCAATCAACAACTCCCACTTTAGGACACATTTTCCTTACAGACAAGCAGCTTGACTGACTTATGGGGATGCTACAGATAAGAATGTTTGACTTATATCATGTCAAAGTTTTCATGACAGCAACATCAATTGTTTTAAAAAACACTTGACTTTTTCAATTGCTTCATTGCAAAGCAAGTCACCACTGAAAACAAGGCCTAACCTTTTTGACCAGATATGGATACTAGAGAAAAACCCATGAAATATTTGAGATATATGTATATACACTAACCTGTTGAGCTAAGATATGACTGCACAAATCTTCGTCGCTCCTCCAAATCTGCAATTTTTGTTTCAACAGTTACGTGCAGTTTTCATAGATTGATTAGATACTAAATTTTCTTTAGTGTGTGTGTGTGTGTGTGTTGGGGGGGGGTGGTGGTTTCCATAAAGAGGAAATTCATCCCTACACATATAAGGTGTGGACGGCTTGCGTGTTGCAATCCTTATTATCAATCAAGCAGAGCATATTTTTCGTGTGAGATACTTCAAATACAGGAATAATTGCAACATTTAGAAACTTTAAGCAAGTCTTTGACTCAAAATACCTTCCAATATTAACAGAACATAAAAGTATTCTGGACCCAAATCAATTCATCTTGAAAAAGTGCATAAAATATTACCTGGGTACATGTTATAGTCCAAAACATGAGGTGTATCCGTGTGATAATTTGCTGCCCATTCACAGAAGTGGTTTGCAAGATCGTAAGGCACCGGATTGTAGCTGGCATACTCATAATCCTGATAAAAGAATTACAACAAACTCATATGAATATGTTCTCCATGAGAAAGAAAAAAAAACATAAAGTCATCACATAAAATTAGTATAGCAAGCATCCAACCTTTGCTTTATCATATGCATAGCATCAGTTTGGGTGATTGTTGACTAAATATTAAAACATATATTTTTTTCATCTTTTAAGGGCCTGTTTGGTTCATAAGATTATATAAGCTTTAAAAAATGATGGATACCCATCATTTCAAACACCTGCCCTCCWTTTTGGCATGATGAATAGTCAGTCAAACATCAGATAATTTCAAGAACCAAACAGGGGGCATCAGTAACAAGATTCAGAAAAAGAAAGATTGTACAGTTAGTAAATAAACTTACAATTAGGGTGATGGATCTTKTGTTCTCATCAATCATAATATTGCCATATTGTAAATCGTTGTGACAAAAAGCAACATCGTGTTGGCCTTGTGACAACTCCTTTTCCAATATATCAATTTCATTTTCTAAGATATCGAGTTGAAACTCTTTCGCCKTTTCTRGGGAGCACAAGCTCCTAGCCTTGATCAACCACTTTCTGGTTACAAAAACAGATTGTAAATCCCTAAACAGATAACATCAATAATACTATTATTAAATTTTGCAATTTGTTTACATCAAGAAAGAAGAAATACCTCATTCTTGGCCATAACAACACATTCCTGGWGCCAGGCATATTGAGGTTATGAAATTCCCTCATTTTGGCAGCAATTAGTGTAGATATCTCAGGATCACGAAGATCACAAGCTGATAATGTCTGAAACCCATGAAAAGGAATCAGYTTTCTTAAGTCATCATTAGAGTACGTTTAACAAATGGAAAAGTAATTAGTATATGCATTGGAACTTTCAGTGTGCATAGGTATATTTACATTGCTTTCTATGCAGTTTGGTTACTTCATCTTGATCTTTCAGACCCTTTAGAGTTTTACCTTAGCATGAATGAACTCCTCCACCCGGCCTTGAGGAAACTGGCTGAGAAGGCGAGGGCCATGCCCATGGGTCGAAATGGATTCGAAAGTCCGGATTTCTTCTTCCCGATCAAAGAAAATGTCAGAGCCTTCCCCATAAATCCGAACTAACACTGTCCGTTCATCATTTCCAGTGGTGTTCCGTGGCCAAGTGATTCGGTAAACCACATTAGTCATGGCACCACTTAGATGAACGACTTTCAATTTGTTTGTGTCGAAAACATCACCCCAGTTTGAAGCAAGTGACAGCAGTAACTTCAGCAGTTCTTCGGGTTGTGTGCCTTCAATGAATCCATTKATCTTCACGGCCATCAGAAAAGATTGGAAATGCTTCTTCTTCCTTTCAAGATTGAAAAAATATTGGCTGCAAAATGGAGTAAATTAGACTGTCATGATCAAAAGTTTCAGTAACATAAAGAACATGAAGGTTTCACACAGAAATGCAACAAATCAGTGTAGAACTGAATATAATGAAAATCAGAAGATCAAAGAAACCCAATCTTGGTTAACAGGATAAAACAGAAGAATYCAGTCCATGAAACTTTGACTTTTGAGATCAAACAGTCCAAGATTCAACTCTATGTTAGCAGATAGTACAGATTCAAGAAATGCTGGATGAAATCATTCAGCATCAATTTCGACTCCAGAAAGTCAGAGGTATGAACTACAGAATCAAAATTCGCAACCAAATATCATAAAAGTTTTTCCCAAGTTCTTTTACATCAACAAAGAATACAGAGAACTACAGAGCATGAACAAAATCCTTGAAAGAAAACCCAATTCGCATAAAGATCTAACAAAAAAGGCGCAAGAACTGGAAGCCCAGATGGAATAATTAAGGAAATGCATGAAAGAAACTAACCCCAGATGAGATAATCCAAAATCGAATTGATTGTCCAAACGCTTTTACGAACGATTGACAGCTTCAAAAACGAATTAAACCCCTTCTGTGATGAAATAGAAGGCGGAAGAAGTCGTATATATAGAAAAAATAAGAGATTGTAAATACGACTTTTGGGGAATTTTGATTATTAAACAATAAATCGTATGATTGCGATGCGACCCAGTAGAACAAGAATCTGCTTTAATTTTCTTGTATGTGTAATTTTTGAGAGATGGTGATTCTGATGATTGGTGTTTTCAAGTTTGTTTATATAAATGCTTGGTAGGGGGAAACGGAGGCTTTGGGAAGCGTAAACGCGCACTGTACCGCGTATAAATGCAACATAACCAATCGTTGTGTGACACGTAGCGTTGACTAACTAACGTCACATATAAACGGAAATAACGGAACCTCTATAATGCAAAATGCAATGATATTTTAGATGATATTTGCAAAAATCGTCCCTCATCTATTCATAAATTACAGGATTTCGTTTCAAATGTTTTATCCTTATCTTCAAAAGGAGAGTATTAATGTCATCCCAAAGACCAAGTGCTTGTGTATTTCTAAAATCTATAAAAAAATCAAATTGATTTAATAATATATTGTAATTAATCATCATTATCATATGATACATCTTATAAATATTTGTATTTATATATTAATTAAATTAAATTATATATATA